CAGAGTTTAAGTGAATCGAGGTCGATGAGACGCGACCTTTAAAGAACTTCCTTTTCATAGATACTCCTCTCTCCGTGAGACGTTGTCCAAATCTTAACCGTAAATGTTAATATTTCAAGATCTGCATTAGTTGTGGCTCAATTAACCCATCTGCTGAAAACACGGCCGATGTCAAACAAAATACCCTTTGGCAGTGAAGAGGCAATGAAAGCAATCGTGCTTTGCCCCAATCACTGGCCTGGGATTTATATACCAACCTGAGGAAACCATCTATGTTCCCCTATAGCAAGGGGTAGCCAAACTCCGGCCCTCCAGCTGTGGCGGAACTACAAATCCCATGAGGCATTGCAAGATTCTCACAGCCACAGACATGACTCTCGGAGAGAGATGCATCATGGGATTTGTATTTTCACCACAGCTGGAGGGTCGGAGTTTGGCTACCCCCGGCCTATAGCAAAGGTGGGCAAAATCCGGCTGTCCAGCTGTTGTGCAACTGCAGGTCCCATCATGCATCTGCCTCTGGGAGTCATGCCTGTGGCTTTCAGAATCTTACAATGCCTCATGGGATTAGTAATTGTAGCACAGCTGGAGGACCACAGTTTGCCTACCCTTGCCCTATAGCAGGCGCTTCATTTCGTTTTCTGAACTGAAGTGCACAATGCCTGATGTAATGTGACTGCTATAGGCAACACTATAGACTCCTCATTACCTAAAAGGCTGTTTTCAGTCATTCTGAACTGGGTATATAAAAAGGCAAGACCAAACAGCAGGCTGCAAGCTGTGAAGGTACCACAAGCCCCAGCACGCCTTACAACAGGGCTGGACAAATCCCAGTAGGCCAATGTGCCACCAAAATTACAGCTGGTGCCTAAGCTTTGAGATTTTCTCTAGTTGCCAAAAGGAGCTGGCTCTGGAATTCCATATTAATTTGCCCAGACTGGCTCTGGAATTCCATATTAATTTGCCCAGACTGGCTCTGGAATTCCATATTAATTTGCCCAGACAGGCTCTGGAATTCCACATTAATTTGTCCACCCCTATTTTAAAAGCCAGCAAGGTTGTCACGCTCTCTAATACACTGTGGTTGTATTATTTTTGTAAATCAAGGCAGTAGGTGTCACAACGCCTTATTGCACAAAACCTCCTGTGCAATCGTACAATGCCCAGTAGGGGATAAAAACACAGTAACATCATAGGGTAAGGGGGTATATGTATGTTTCTCTCCTCTCTAAACACCGGTCAGGCGCAATAGCTTATTCATCGAAATGGCGAACCTGCTGAATTCAGAGGCTTAAGCCACAGTGAGCAGGAAGAGGCAGGCCTGGGTAGAATTTTACAACCTCCCTAGTTAAGAGTATGCACAGGACTACCGGCAGCTCATTGAGCAAGTATCACATATAAAGATCTGCCTGTCTTTACCTTACTCCGGGTGCAAATATACATAAAACTTTGCTAGCAAGACATGCCGCCTCTTGCATTATCTGTGCGATTGACACGATAAAAAGTTAAAAGCATTTCTTTTTTTCTTTATACACGAACCCTGCATGGGCTGACAATTGCTGTTCTAGCTGTGGATGAAGCATGTAGCCTGCCACAAGTAACAGAAAAAAGGAGGGGAGAAAGGAAAAAAAAACAAAAAAATCCACACAAGATTGATACAGCAGGACACAATCGATACAGCTGCCTTGCAGGTACAAAAATACAGTACAATATACTGATGCGATTAAAACATCAAGAAATACTATTGCTCCCATACAGTTTTGAAAAAAAAAAAAAAAAAAGCATGCAACAATCAGTTGACATTACACGCTGGGATAAAACTGAAAATGTGTTCTCGGGATTTTTTTCCTTGTAAAACAGCAGCAAATGTTACCCTTCTGCTCGAGCGTTTTATCTTCCACCTTCAAAAACACAATGCTCTGCATCACAAGACGAGCAGCTCCGTCGGGGAAACCGGATCCATTCTGGCAAACCGCTGCCCTCCCGAGATTCACCCTCCCAAAATTCATGACCTGCGTGAATCCCTTCTCACAGATGACGATTCGCCAGAAAGAATCCGATTCCCCCAATCTCTACCCGCTCCGAGCTCGCTTTTAGAAAACGCTTCTCCTTTTGTCGCTCTAGACCTATGAACGCACTCTATGGTGCCAGAAGCAGCAAAAGGGATTAAACCACTAGGTAAGACGATGAGATCAATACATTAGTATAGCTAAACCCAATTCAAATGATGTGGAAAATATAAAAAGGCATTTCACGTGATTTAAAAAATAATAATTCCTCTATGCGTTAAACACTGGAAGCTGCTAACCTGCTCGACATTTCCGAAAGCCCGCACAATCACGCGGTGAATGAATGGTATTGCGGAGGCTTTGGGAACAGCCATGCCAATAACTAAACACACCAACATGACAGCTAGTAGGGAGTTCATAATAATCCGATTTAAAACTACGAATATGCACAAAGGGGGGTAAAAAAAAAATATATATACTATCGTTGTGTTTCAACTCTTTGGGGACAGAGAAATGCGTGAAGAAACGCATTCACCCGTGTCCTCAAAAAGGTATATTTCTTGTCAAAGTGGCAATCCGATAGTTTAAAATTCAGGTTAAAAAGCACAGGTTGGGAGCTGGATACAGGAGCCCCCCCAATGACATTTCTTGAGGACAAAAAAAAAAGACCATCTTGTAGGCAGTAAGTTCATCTACTGGATGGGAACAGACGATACGCTCTTATCCCCATTCGCTTGTACTGCTGTGGACTGGCCACCACCTGGACAGTTTCCTTCCCAGCTGTCCGCTGAGAACGTAGTTGGAGGCGCCATCACCCTCCGAGGTACTGAGAATTGAAGGCAGGTCTTTCCAATAATAAAAAGCCTGGTAGAATCAGCATCATGGACCTGAGCTTTATCTTATTTGATATTTGTCCTGTTTGCATGAACTTTAAATTGGTTGTGATTTTTTTTTTTTTGTCTTTTTCGCTTCCGCAGAGGAAGGGTTTCATTGAAGATTTCACGTTTTTTTTCCTTGGTAAAATTTGTGTTATCGACAGTCCCTCGTTCTGAAGATTTCGGTTGTATCTTGCGCTGTTAGCTGCTGGTTTTAAAAAGAAAGGTGACTATGGCAGTCGGAAATAATCCATGATTGGTGGGATCTGAGTTCAGTCCTGGTGAGAATGGTAAGCTGGTCCTGTCACCGGAGACTCTGCTGATGTTAAAAGCTATTTTTTTTAATGTTTTTCAAGAAATTCAACAAGCTTTCCTTGTGCTTTAGGAATGGTGGCCTGGTGAAGTATTCGCAGAGCGTGTTGGGAACAGAACTGCTGGTCTTTTATCCTTTTGGGGGTATGCCCCCCTCATTAAAACAGAAGCAAATTGACATGGTTGTAAGAGAGGCAAGGGAGAAAGGGGTGAATCTGCTCCCTAAGTGGCTCTCGCTGTTTTTTTTCCTAGCCAAGGTTTTATCTCCTCTACCCTCGCTTAGTAAGTAGAAGTGTTGATAAATAGGGTTCCTGGTAGACATTACATGGCAGGTGAGGCAAGAAGTTCTGTTTCTAAAAACCTATTTCATGCTGGCTTCTGAAACGCTCCTATCATCAACAATGACAAAGGAATTTGGGGTATGCCGATCGGCACGTGGTACGCTACCTAGCACCAAATCTCAGGTCTCCCTTATTCTCTAAACCCATCTATGGCGAAGGTCGGGGTTCTCCATGCGTTGGCCAACAATCCAACTTGCTGAACTAAAATGGGGTTATGAAAAACTCGTATAATCTCGAGCCGGTGCCAATGACAAACCAGCCATAGTTGGGTTTCTGTAGCAGAGCAAACGATGGGTCATGTGGCTGACTCCAGATTAGATGCACTGGGCCATCTTGGCTCAGCACCCAAACCTAGACAAGAATTTGAGGATTTCACTTTACATGTTAGAAGGGTGTGCATTTTGTAGTAGGGAGCTTGCCCGAAAGTTTAACTAGACATAGAAAATACAGGAAACCAGAAGCACAGTTACAAACACAAATCTCAAAATGCTGCAGAAGACGCACTTTTTTTTTAGTTTGTCGGTAAAGGATGTGTTTCCAGGTTTCAAAGTTTGTTAGTGACCTTTCCTCAAGAAGAGGTGCCAACGTTTGGTCTCCTGACCATTTACTTATAGTTCATAACTGTATCTCCTGGTCTCCTGACCAATAACCTACGGTTCACAATGGCATCTCCAGACCATTTACCTATGGTTCATAACTGTAACCCCTGGTCTCCTGACAATTTACCTATAGTTCACGATGCCATCTCCTGACCCATTTACCTATGGTTCAGAACTGTACTGAATTCTGTCCTATCTTAAAGCATGAGACTGTCCTGGATCCTGCTGACCCCCATGAAGTCCCTGACGCCCCAGCTGTGTTACTCCAAGTCCGGTTCGGACAGCCTGTTGCTCTCCAGCTGCCCCAGAACTACAAGTCCTGAAGGGCAGATCCACCTCAGCAGATTCGTTTTGGAAGTTCTTCAGCAACTGGAGAGGAACAGGTGGCCTAATAAATGAAGACCTTGCATGAAAAAGCAAGGTTCGCTTATTAGCTAGACCCACCCCACCCCCGAAGGAAAAAGACAAGGCTAACGCCATTAAAAAAAAGAAAAGGAGGTGGGGGGGAATGGTTTTCATTATTTACCCAAGCCACTTCTTGTACGTGTTGATGACATGGGCCTTCTCCTGGGAAAGCTGAAGATCTCAAATCTCACAAGAATGCCCGCCTGCAGAGTACAAGAGCACTGGGGAGCAGGACAATTTTAGTCAACGAGATGGGGAGGTGCTAGCTAATAAGCGTCCATTTTAATGGAGTTATGACTGGCTTAGGCAGTCCGAGGCTCTCCAGCTGAGGAACTACAAGTCTGAGCATATCAGAGGCAGGTCTTTTGCACCTCTAAGTGGCGTGCAATTACAAGTTCCAGCACACTGAAAATTGTAGTCCCACAACACCCTGAGAGCAGGGGGGGGGGCGGGGATAATGTTTGCTCCTACTTGGAGGTTACCCTACAGCTGGAGAGGTGGACTTTAATTATATTATGTCCGTATATATCAGGATTAGTCGGCCTGTGATTCCCCAACGGAGGTGGAACTACAAGTCCCAGGGCAGAATTCACTGCTGGAAGTTGTAGTGCCACCCATGTGAGGAGCCCCAGGTCGTACATAGATGTGTGTGTGTGTGTGTGTAAGTGTGTGTCTCTCACTGACCTCCCTCCCCACTTTCTCCTCTGCCTCTCTTGGTTTAGTCGTCATCCACATCTTCCGTCTCCGAGTCTTCTCCTCCCCCGGAGCTCAGGCCCCCGCTTCTCTCCCCTCCAGGGCCCCGACGGTCATACAGCTTGTCCCGCTGCCTCTCCTGGATCTCCTTCATCTCCTCGGCGTATCGGCAGAAGGCGCCCCCGAACTTGCCCCAGGCCTTCAGGGGCACGGTAATTGAATTGCGGTAGCTGGGCTTCACCTCGCTTACCCGCAGGAACACGCCGTACTTGTTGCAGCCCACATCGAAGAAGAAGCGCTTGGAATCCACTGTGATGGACGTGCCCTCTGCTGGTTCTCCTTTAGGTCAAGGTAGTACTTGCGGTTCTCTCGGACCAGGAACTCGCTCTTCAGGGCCCGGCGGGGGCCTGCGGCTCCTCCCATGCCATCCTCCCCCGAGGACTGGGCGATCTGCTCGGGGCTGCTGGGACCCAGCTGGGCATAGTGTTCGATGAAGTCGCCCAGGTAGTCGCGGAATTCGGCGGCCACCGCCATGGAGAGGGTCAGGCGGCTCTTGGAGCCCCCGGCTCCGACCTCAGCGATCTTGATGAAGCGACCCTTGGCATTTTGCTTAACATCCAGGTAAAAGCGCTTATTCTGGATGTCCAGCCGCTTGGAGGCCAGCTCTTGGGTCTCTTGGTCCCTGGACATGTGCTGCTGGAAGCTCCCGGGGCCGCCGCCTCCTCCTCCTCCACTGCTGCCCCCTCTCTCGCTCCCGCTATCCCCGTCCGCCATCTTCTCCTCCTCCTCCGCACTTACAGTCGCCTTTGGCACTGGCTCCTCTCGGCTTCCGTCCGTCCTTCAGCCCCGGCCGGGACTTCCCTCTTCCTCCTTCCCGCGGGCTGCCCGCCTTTCAGTCGCCCGCTCTCTACCACTCCTCTCCCTCCTCCGCTCTGCTCGCCCCTCTTCTTCCTTCTCGATCGCTCTTACACTCTCTCTCCCTCTTTCTCACTCTCGCCCAACGTCTCCTCCCCTTCCTGCGTGCGTCCTGCGCAACTACGGTTGAGTGCAGGATCCCGGTCTGAAGCCGCCGCCGTCGCCATCTTAACTGAGGGCAAGCCACCCTGCTGTAAACAAGATGTATATATATATTATTTATTTATTTACTGGAGGAGGGTGTTATGTCTTTTTATTTCAACATATTTTGAAGTGTTCGGGTATACTACTGATCATAACCAATTAGCAGATGATAGTATGATGCCTGTGGCAAGGCAGACCAGATCGTGTTAGTGAAAAACAATCCATAGAAGCCGACGGCATACGGATCATTTGTACCAGTGCTCAAAAGTCAATAAAAAAAAAAAATGTGTATTAATCCATAGTGACCAACCACATATTGGACATTTAGTGCAGGTACAGCCCTGGGCGATCCGAGACGAACATCCCGGAATCGCGCGGTCGTGCACATTTGCGCACAGCGATTACCCCATTGATCTCAATGGGGTACATCTGCGCGGCAATCGCAGAAAGAAGGTACATGTATCTTTTTCTGCGACACACGATGCACAGCTGTTTTAGCCGCGATCGTGTTTGGTTTCACAGGCGAAATTGCAGCGGGAAACCGCACGCTCCACCCGCCGCGACTAGGGTGCTATTAGAAAATAATGGCACCGCCAGCGCAATCGTCGGTGGTGGGTGACTTTGTGACCGTGTGGCAATCCGCGCGGTATCGTGCACAATTGCCACGCGGTCACGGATTGCCCAGGTGTGAACCTGGCCTGAGTGTGCTGGTGTGCTGATCTTAAGTAAAGCGCTGCACAAACTGTTGGCGCTTTAAAAATCATGTAAGGCTAGGTTCACACCTAGGCGATTTATCGTGTGGATTTAGCCATGCGATATCGCACAAAACAGAGATTTGCATTCAAGTCTATGGAAGCTGTTCACACCTTTGCGATTTGTCGCGCGGTAGAAATCGGCTGCTAAAGCAGAGACACCGGCACTCCAAATTTGCAAAATACGTCTATTTATTGACGTGCATCGTGGTAAAAAACTAGACAATCGTAGAAATCGGCTGTCGCACAAAAACCCAGGTTCACACCTGGGCGATCCGTGACTGTGCGGCAATCATGCACAATACAGCAAGGATTGCCGTGCGGTCACGGAGTCGCCCCTCACCAACGATCACACTGTGGGTGCCATAGTCGCGCTGGGCCGATCGCGCTGTTTCCCACCGCGATTCCGCCAGTGCAAACGAACACGATCAAGGCTAAAACACGATCAAGGTGTGCATTATGTATCGCAAAAAAAAGGGCTGCGTGCAGGTCATACCAGGGCTGCGTGCAAGTGTCACCAGAGCTGCGTGCAGATCTCTCCGGGGCTGCATATAAATGTCGGGCTCTTAGTCGGTGTGGGTGGGTGCAAAGCTCTGCAGGTGGGTGCTGGTTTCTGCAGGTGGGTACCGTGCTCTCCGGGTGGGCGTGGGCTCTGCGAGTGGGTGCCGGGCTCCAGGGCTGTGCGGGCGGAAAGGAGGAGGATATGGGGCTAGATAGGAGGTACTCAGAAGGCTGCCTCAGTTCCCCAGCAAGAGCGGGAACTCAAGCAGCCAAACCTCTTTAAAAAGCTAGTATCGGGGCATTGTCACGAGTACAAGTACTCATGAAAATGTCCTGTATCGGCCCCAAATACTAGTATCGGTATCAGGACATTCCTATCAGAAAGGTTTACTGGGCTTGACTTACGGTATATAGAGCAGAGTGAACCTTTCCAGGATACAATGTTTCACTTGCGGGTGTCGGAGCCACTATCTAATAGCGGGAGACTCCCAGGAACGTCCGGAAGACTTGAGATTTCTGGAGTGTGGAACCATGTCGTATGGGGTGGCTCCTGTTATGGAGGAGTAAACAGGAAGTAGAACGGCTTCACATTCATCTAATGTATGCCAGTGAGCAAAATCCATGGAAACCAACCGCGTTTAGCACTTTTTTTTACAGCCTTGAATAGAGTGGGAAGAAGAATATTTCTGTCAGGTATTCATTTATGAAAGTTTTTCAAACCATACCGCACAGACTTCTTGCATACCCCTTCATGAGGATGGGTCCATTCACACGGCGACTCCTGGGATTCCCAGGTGCCCCCATTCAGATGCAGCCGTTGTACCTACTGAAGTGAAGGACCGGGTAACAGCGGCCACATCTGTTAGCGGCAGTCCGCATGTAATCGTACATGGTATAATTACATGCATCCTACGATTGTCCCTGGTTGTAGGATAGATGTGTCCATCAACAATCATCTATCCCAAAGCTAAACTTCAATGTTTACAGCGGACGCATCTGAACGGGGACACCTGGCATCCGCGCTGCAAGAAGCTGTAGGTTCTTGCCGCAAGAATGCTAGATCGCCCCATGTGTTGCCTCAGGCAGAATCTCTTCGGGTCACGTGGGGGAGGCGGCAGGCAGAGTGGCATGGCCGCTCTACTGCACAATGTTTGCAGTGTGTCTGCCGCCCCCTTTCCGGCCGGAACATCCAAAGTTGCTAAGAGCTGGGCGGGGAGATGTGTAAGGGCTCTCCACCCAGCTCTTAAAAACCTGGGACGCACTTGCCACCGTCCTGCCGAGCTCGTAACGTCAGACTTGGCAGGTTGCTGGGCCCCAAGTGCACCCCTCCTCCCCCGCCGCCTGAGGTGGCAAAAAACCTAGGGACACCCCTGTGAATGGGGCCTAAATGATGGTAGCATGTAAATACAAATGTAAAAAGAAGCCAGTACACTAAAATAAGATCCAGATACAGAGCTGCCTAGAGTCCCATATCAGAAAAAAAGAAATCCTCTATGTGATAGCCAATTTACAGGACAGGTCCTCTTTATGGAGAGATCAGGGGTCTCTAAGACCCCTGATGTAACCTAGGGAACCCCAGAGAAGCTGATGAAGCAGAAATCTGCTTCATCAGCTTCTCACCGGTGTTCTGTACCAGAGAGTGACACAAGAAGTGATGTAATATGCCTTCCTGCATTCGGGGACCGAAAAGAGATCAAAGGGAGATTGTGTACTGACCTCCCTTTGATCTCCACTGAGAGCGTCGCCATGCCAGTCCCAGCCACACCGGGCGGCAGAGGCACGGGACCGGCGGCAGAGGCACGGGGGTGGCAGGCCCACACCTGCAGCTCCTGCAAGCGATATAGAGAAGCCCGATTGCTTGAATGTAAACAGCCATCAGTGGCTGTTTACATGCTGACAGTTTCCCCGCTCGTGTGCGCGCTGAGCGCTGCACACGATCTAGGGACCCCTTTCTCAAGGTGATAGCAAGGCTACAATCCCTTTATCTGTCACCTTGTTATCTCCTTAACCACTTCAAGACCAGGTGTTTCACCCCCTTCCTGGCCAGGCCATTTTTCAGTATTCAGTGCAGCGGTACTTTGACGTTTATTCCGTCATGCAACGCTGTACTGAAACAAATTTCATACCATTTTTGGGGACAGACAGAGCTTTCTTTTGGTGGTATTAAATTACCACTGGGGTTTTATTTTTTAATATATAACAAAAAAAGTACCATACATTTTGAAAAAAAACATGTTTCCCTATAAAATGTTATGAAACGTTTATCACCCCAATTTTTTGGTGCAATATAAAAGACGGGGTCACGTTCGGTAAATAGACACTAAACATGTCAAGCTTTAAAATTGCGCGCGCGAAATCGCAGAAAACGACCGCAACCAAAATTGGCCATAGGCGACGCTTTAAAAGTTTTTTTTACTGCTCATCAGTTTAGTGTTATCAGTGATTGATGGCCCTAAAATTACTGCTCTCATTGCGACGTTCGCGGCGATATGTAACGTGCTGCATAATGGGCGCAATCGTCGTTTTCGTACGTAGGCGCTCCCGACGCATGTAAAGGGGAGCTTTGTTACATAACCATAAAACTAACTGCAGAATTGCAAGAGTGAACTGCTGGTTATGTCTAGGGGGGGCAAAAATAAAGAAGAAATACTCACCCAATCCTCATCCCCACCTGGCTGCTAGACCGGCCCATTTTCCCCCAGGCTCTGGTGGTCTAAGGACCCGTGATGTCATCACGTCTAATACAGGTCTATTAGAAGTAGGGATGCACCGACATTTCGGCCACCGAAAATGGTATCATGGGCAAAATGAGCTTTTCCTATTTCATGGGACAGCACTCAGTTATTGGAAGAATATATGCTGTTGTTTTATAAGATTTATCTGCTTTAATATTTTCATCATATTCAACATTTCATTACAGAAGAAGAAGCAGAGAAAATCATTATATTAGGCAAAAAAAATAAAATGTTTCTATGGAAAGCTTTCTGCAAAAAAAAACAAAAGGTATGTAGACTTTTAGTAGTGACTTGAACAGACATGTCAGATGAACTGAAGCAGATGGAAGTGGAGTGTAGAGTGCAGATGGTTCCACTGAGGATATTTGTTGCAGTCTTTTCGTCCGGTGCTACATTTCACACCATGGCCGCATTTAAAGGGTAAATTCCAGGTACACAAACAAAAAACGAAGAAAATGGCCCATATGGTGCCAATTCAGAATGTGATACCGTTTTACGGTAATAACAATTGGCTCCCATTATTCCTTCGTGCTTTAATGGCTTATACAAAATGCAGCAGTGGTGAAGAGTACAGGCTGCAGCTGTGTGTTCACCACTTACTGACCATTTCTCTTCGGGGGCGTTCCAGAGAAATGTACTTGAAAACAGAAAAAAATAACTGTTAGCTTGCAGAAAAAAAGCAGTTTCTCAGAACACAGTTTGGTTCCATATATGCTGGGAAGCTATCATTGCATGCAGGGCCGGATGAAGAGCATCACGGGTCTGGTGCTGTCGGTTGGCCGGATGGGAAGCATCAGAGGCAACTCTCTATATTAGGCGGCCACTTGCTCCCAGGGAGCAGCTGCCTAATATGCCTGATTAGAGAGCCACTGGCGCCTCTGCCTGATTGTGTTCATCGGGCATACCAAGGCAAT